CTTGAGGGATGAGTCGATAGATTCAACCCTGGATTCTCGAGCTGGACCTGGGCCGAATGGAAGTGCTCCTCAGTTTGATTTGCCATCCGCAATCGGGCACAGGGTCAAGTTGATTATGGCTGCGGGGGCATAACGACGATTTAGTTTTCCCATATATATAATGTCCCATTCCTATCTAGAGTATATGGCGAGTTAGAGACGCTTGTCTTTCTTAGAATGTGCCTTTGGTTTAAACCTGGAGAAGGCGAAGAACAAAGCGGCAAAGACTTAGTTGCAGATGATAGAAAAGATACAATTACCTAGTTATGAAACTATCAGATACATTATGAGAGAAGATAGCTGGAGGAAATGATACATGTAACATTTGTCTATTTGTGTTCCTGCACCCGAGATAAACAAGTATTTACATACCTAGCCTACCTAGGTAAATAAGAAAAGAATCATCTCAGAAACACGACAGGATACTGTCTTCCATCGTATCCTCTATTTTGTAGTAATAGCTAATGTTTCATGGTTTGTTGTTTGCTGTGCTTTGCTCGCTTCTCCTCGCCCCCCTCCACGCCCGCTGCCTGTCCATCGTCGTCTCCCTAACCGATTATTTACTTAACCATCATCCTTCACTCAATCTCCCCCCTTTTCCACGCCACACATCTGGAACTACCTCTCTTCTGCCTGTAGATGGGATAGGTAGAGATATTTAAATCAACACACACACACACACACACTCACTCACACAGAGAGAGAGAGAGAGAGACAGGGGGAGAGAGAGAGAGAGAGAGCGATGCCTGCCCCTCTTCTTCTGTTGACATGGGCTCTGTAGCTGTCAGTATCGCGCCGTCGGATCATCTTGCGCATCGCCCTGACACCATGCTCAGCGCTTCAGTTGGCCAATCCGTATCTGTGACTGTGACTGTCCTGCGCCTGAGCCTAGCTGCCGACATCCACAGTCAACTCCTCCTCAGAATCGGAATCAGAATCAGCATCGTCATCCTCGTCCGCATCCACATCCACATCCCGCAAATCCCAGCAATACTGGCCAGCTAGGTTCCACCACTCTCAGCTCCACCACCTCCATTGCGTCAACCTCGCAGTCACCCACGCCCTCGTCCTCGTCCTTTTCTCCTCCTTCGTCGACCGTTGCTCCTCCTGCTCCTCCCACTAACCCTATTCCTCATCCTATCTCCTTCTCGTCATCCTCCCGGTCTTCCCACTCTGCCGACGCCACCGTGAATCCTGCGCCCGTACACTCTTTGCAGAATGCCCCTTCACCTCCTCAGCCACCAGGGCCTCCTATCTCAGCTGCGTCGATGACATCGCTTCCCAATCCTCACCGCTTCCCCGATCGCCATCGGTCTGCCTACCGTCAGCATTCTCCGCAGCATAACCAAGGCTTTGATCACGCCGGCATTCCCTTATCCAATACACGCTGTGGCCTTGACAGCGATAATCCCTCCTCCCACTCGTCCCCTCGATTACAGCCCACTTACCGTTCATCTCTCTCCCTGGGGGGCTCTGAAGCAACCTCCCCGAGTCGCATCCAGGTCCATGATCTTTCCCATATTCGCAGCTTTGCCAATGAAGAAGTCCTCGCCTCCTCCAGACGCCTTCAGACCCAGGGCAGCAACGGTCGTTCTCAACAAGATGTGGGCCGCCAGTACGAGATTAGCTCCATGCCAGTCACAGATATCATTGAGATGGTCGCCGGCCTGTTGACCAAGATAACCACCACCAATGACCAGCAGCACGAGCATATACATCGCAACATCCCGCCAACCGATGGCGCAGGTGGCATCAGTGCTCAAACCACCAGTGTGCTCGCTTTCCATGGGAAAAATGTCCCAAGCATTACTATCCTGAGCTACCTAAGTCGCATACACAAGTACTGTCCAACCACTTACGAAGTCTTCCTTAGCTTGCTCGTTTACTTCGACCGCATGACTGAGATGGTAAATAAAGCCTTTATCCAGAGCCTGCAGCAAAGGTCGGATCAGCATAGCAGCAGCCTGGCCCCACATTCTTCGCCCTCCACGTCCATCCCGTCTGGGGTTACTCCCAATCGCCCCTCTACCCGTGGCTCTATCGCAACACCGCCTTCTTCCGTCCAAATGCGGGCGCGAGACAACGACCCGTCATCCCCGTCACCGCCTTCCACTATATATCAGGAGTTTATCCCACCCTCGTCGAGCACTACCCCTGCCGCATACGAAGATGCGTACAGTCTCTCTCATTACTTTGTTGTCGATAGTTTCAACATCCACCGTCTAGTCATTGCCGGTGTGACCTGCGCAAGCAAATTTTTTTCTGATGTTTTCTACACCAATTCTAGATATGCCAAGGTAGATATATAGGCTCTCCCCCTTTTGTTTTCTCAATGTAGCTAAAGTGTACTAATTTACCTAGGTTGGCGGCCTTCCTCTCCTCGAGCTCAACCATCTCGAACTTCAATTCCTCCTTTTAAATGATTTTCGTCTTGCCATTCCTGTTGAAGAGCTGGAAGCTTATGGTACCATGCTTGTTGAATTCTACGCAAGAGAAGTGGTTGCGCAGCAACAGCAGCAACTGCCCCAGCAGCCGCAGAATCCCGGCGATGGCCAAGACCACCCCTTCAGCACTACAGGCCACCGAGCAAAGGACGGTGCTTATATGGAACAGCGCCCTAGCCAAAGGGAGGGTATCATTCAAGCAAACGTTTCACAAACTCCGACCCCTCCATAGGGTCTTTATTGCCATTGAATTTTCTCTTCTTTTTTATTTTTTCTGATGAGATTACAGCGCGGTGGAAGCAGTAGCAAAGGAAGTCGAAATACCTGACGGGGACACGGAAATATAGATATCTTTTATTCTTTCCTCTTTTCTTTCGAGTGCCAGGTGATTGATTCAATTCCGGCCCAAGATACCATGAGAGTAGTTCATTGTTACTTAATTTTTCCGCCCTTTTCGTCTTGTTATTTCCTGAACCTGATTTTGCATGTTGCGGCTGTGCTACTTTTCCCATTTATCACTGCAATACTTTATACTTATTTTGTTTGATGACGTTGTGGTTTGTTCGTCTGATGTCAATGTCGCTTGAGATTTTGTCCCGAAGTTGGATCGTATTCCTCTAATTTGCGTTTATTTTTAATTTTTACGAACGACTTCATTATTGGTGTTCATGTACGATATTCCTCTATCCTTCATTCTGTCATTTCTGTCCCTCTACTTGCGCCTCTCTTACACCATGATGGATATGATTAATGGGAGGGCAATGAAGCGGGACGCAAAGCTACATTTTCTTGTTCAACATCGCCCGTCTCGGCTGAAGCAGGAGGTTCGCCCCCGACCCCTGTCCCACACCCCACATGGGCCGCCGCTGCAGCATACCTATGTGACCTATTCTATTCACACTTATGCACGTGGGCATGCACACATACATCTCGCTCGCTGTTGGCTCAATTTTCCACTCCCAAAACCTCAATATTATTTAATGACTACCGCAGAAATAACTCACTTGCATCTGAATATTTTACCTGCCTCTTATCATACCGTGCCATACCTTACATATATATTTTGCATTTGCCTTGCTCTTTAACCCTGCACAACTTTAATTTTGCCCTGATAGCTATACAAACATACATGTATTTGTAGACTGGCCAGCGGGACTATGAATTTCACATGTAATCTCATTTGATCTGGTCCCATACATTTCTTGGCGTGAATCCCACTGAGAGTAGTCATCAAAAAAACATGCAAAGTGACTATTAATCAGATCTCAAAATGAGATTATAACTTAGAAAAATTAAGAAAGTGATCTCATTTAATCTTATTTAGTGTTATTCTTAGCATAAAGTTACTATTTTTAGAGATTTTAAAGTGTTTTTAGACTATTTTTAATTTTTTAAAAAGTAACAATATTTAGTAATACTTTAATAAGATTTAAAGTCATTTAAAGTAATAAAATGAATTTAAATTAAGAAGAAAAAATTATAATCTTATTTTAAAAATGTAAGAAAAGTAGATAGTAAGTGTTACTAAAATAGAATAAAACTACTATCTAATTTTAATTCTGTGTAATAAGATTAATTAAATTAATAATAAGACTATTAAATATTCTGATTCTGATCTCAGATATAGTCACACAGTCAGTCTATATATTTGTATAAAATTTAATTAATAAGAACTTCTAACACTGTAGTGTTACTATAAGATATATTTAAATCTTTTATTAAATAGTACTATATTAGTAAGCTATTAAACTTAATATAAAAATATAATAGAATCATCATTCTCTTCTATATAAATTATTATTATTATTATTATTATTATTATTATTATTATTATTATTATTATTTAATTATAAATATATACAGTCAGAGATGATAATATATATTTAAAAACTTTTAATTCTCAGAGTTTTTCTAGTATTAATAAAGGTAACTAATATTTATTTATCAATTTCATACATATAAAATCAGAAAATTCCAGCTGAGAATACAGAAATCTTTTACAAATTATAGTATTTTTAATATTTTCTAATACTATTAAAATTATTTAGAAAATAACATGATAAAAAA